GGGCATCCCAATAAGAAAAGTCCTCTGTGCATCCAACCACAACCGCATCATCACAGACTTTATCACCACAGGTGAGTATGATCTCCGGGGGCGGCCTCTGATGCTCTCCCACTCCCCTGCTATGGATATCCTGAAATCGTCCAACACTGAGAGGTTTATCTACCACGTCTCAGACGGGAACAGCCGTCTTGTCAAGGACCTGTTCACTCGCTTAGACAGACAGCAGCACTTCCAGGTTCCCGAGCCCCTTCTTGATAGGATACAGCAGGAAGTGCTGGCCAGCTGGTGCTCTGATGATGACTGCTTGGCCGCCATCCAGAACGTTCACATGCAGACAGGCTACGTCATGGATACGCACACGGCTGTGGCTAAAGTCGTGGCTGACAGGCTGCAGGATGGTTCATGCCCTGTGGTGCTTTGTTCCACTGCTCACTATGGGAAATTTGCCCCTGCTGTGTTCAGAGCTTTACAAATCCAAAATATTCCAAAGAATCCTGTGGAGCAGCTGAAGAAGCTCGAATCAACTGTGTCCAGACCAGAAATGCACAGAGACTTGATGAAATGCCTGGAGGCTGGTGGCAGGAGGGGACACGCTGTGTGTCCAGCAGATTACGGCGTACTGCTTGAAGAGGTGGAGAGCATGATACAGGACTCTTTCCTGAAAGTTATGTAGGATTACTGCATTTCAGCCTTTGATAATGTCCACATTAAATTAACATAAATCTGAATTAATAATTTCTAAAAGGCATAGAATTCCCAAATGTATTTTTACAATGTATTTGTAAATGTTTAAAGCAAATGTAACAAATTACAGGAAAAAAATGGCAATTAACTCTTGCTAAACAATATAAATAGTACAAAACATTGAAAGAGAAAAGAATAAATAAAACAAAAATGGTTAAAAGGTGCCAGATATAATCAAGCAATGGTCATTTTTAAAGTTGAATCATGTCTGAGATGACAGGATTGAGAAAAAAGGTGAACTCATTCACTTTTATGCTACTTTAATAGGCTGCAAACTGTTTCTAGCTTGATTTAAAGCTTGCAGCATTTCTTTACATCACTCTCTATAGAGTCCTGGCCCACTAGATGGGGGTGTGCACCTCTTGGCCACTGCCATGTGGAAACTACTGCCAGCACTTCAATAGCAGCATATGTGTATTGCTGTAAGGAAAATGAATTCCAGGCTAAATCAGAAGGTCAAATAGGTTAACATGATGTAAAATCAATATCTACAGCCAGGGAGATGAGTATCCTCTTTAAGTTGTATTCTAAAGCACTGTACTATGGCAGGGTCTGTTTGCAGTCTCTATCCTCATTATCTCTAACTTGACCAACACAAATATTTTTTTATTCATCGAATGGTGCAACACCTTTCTCTGCTCATATAGAGAAAGCCGGAGGATTAATAAAGTGATAAAGATAAAGAATGGTGTATATCTCATTGTGGCATTAAAGTATCTGTTACAGCCCTTGTATCAGTGTCCACTGACTTATTAACTAGGCTTCAGTGAGGTGGAAACAGGTTTTTTCTTTCTTTAGAATCACACTGTTACTACCGACTATATCATTTTTAAATGAGCCATGCCAAAACCGAAGAGTTTTACTTTCTTTTGAGGATATCAGTGTTAAATCGGATTCTTTCAGGTACTGCACGTCCACCCACAGTCCAAAGACATGCAACTTAGGTAATTGGCAAGTCAAA